GCTCGACTGCGACGCTGTGGAGGCACTGACTTGGAGTAGGGGGAAGCGTTGTGGGAGCGTGACCGTTCGCGTTGTGTGGTGTGATCGTGCTGGTGGGTTGGCCGGTGGCAGCATCTGACCAGATGGAGTTGTCGTAGGGGTCGGTGCGATAGGGGTCGGTGCGGTGGCCGGAGGTGGACATGCCGTAGCTGGAGCCGTTGGGGTAGTTGGGGTCATTGGGGTCATTGGGGTCATTGGGGTCATCGGGGTTGCTGGGCGCGCCTTCACCAGGATTTGCGGCAGTGGGCCAGCAGCCAATGCGGACAAGGTGGAGCAACGGGAACAGGAGATGGGACCAGAGGTTTCGCGGCTCTTGAGGTACTGGACACCGTGCCCGAAGTGCTGGAGGTCGGCGCCACAAGTGCACTCCTGCTCGGTGATGCCGTCTGATTCACTGGTGATCTGGGTGGCGTGGGACCCGCTGTGTTCTTGGTCGTCTTAGTCATAGGGCCTGCTGAGTTCGACATCGGACCTGCGTGGGGTCGTGGCATCTGTTGCCGTCAATTGCGAGCCGAGAGCAAGCTGACGGCGTCATGGGTTCATGCCTGATGTGTCGGGTGGTCTGGTGGGAAGTCAACCAGAAAAGTCATCCATATAATAATCAGGGGTGCTGAAACGTCCGGGACATGTCCAAGCCTGTGATGAAGGGTCCGTGGGAATGGTCAATAGTCGCGAGCGACAAAATCTGGTAGTTGTCTGAAGGAGGTGTCGTTACAAGGGGCAAGACAGATGCCCGCAACAGGGATCAAGACACTGACCGGAGCCCGGACGCAGTGCCTAAAACACACTTGATATGAGACGGCGAGACGGCCATGTTGCACCCTGAAGCATGCACGAAATCAAGTTGGAGTTTCGGCATGGCTCACTCAGGTCGTCTTTCCCGACAGTGGGCATCCTCATCAACGGAGTGCCAACACCCAGCTGTCAGTACTTCACGCCTTTGTTCACCATGGTGGCACCCGACTCCGAAAAGAGACACAACGGCGGAAACCCCTTAGGAACAGGGGGGCCACACACACACACCCCACACAGGGGGAGATCACGGGCGCCGGAAACCGAACCACGAAACCTGCGAAGCCGCCTCCATCATGATTCTCGATGGGTGATTTGGTCGCTTTTTCTTGACTCCCGCCTGTGTTCGCCTGGTCCCAGGCAGTATAACACGTGGTTTTACTGGCTATATTCAGGTGGCCTTCTGATCTTGCTCCCGAGCTTTCCTGAGCGCTCCAGGCTCTTCCAGCGCTGCGTGACGTCCGCAATAGCGACTTGTACGAGTACTTGGACCGGTTGTCCGCTTTCAGGCTGCAAAGCTGCTGGTCATCTTCTTCTGTCCAGGCACGTGGTATTTCCGGGGGAGTTCCCGGGTTGCCGGCATCGGAGTGGACATGAGCAGTAGGTTCAGGAATGGATTCAGGGGATGAGAATAGGCCAGCGCAAGGAGAAACCGGAGCTGGAGCTGGAGTGCGAGGTGCTGGACGTGCTGGAGGTTCCGGAGAGTTCGTCTTTTCTGAGGATGTAGCACGGCATCGCTTCCTCTTTGTTCGGCGTCGATCGGTGCTGCCCTTGTCTATGATGGAGCGGGGGATATTGACCTTCTTGATGTTCGGCTGACCAGCGTGATCGTGCCCCATAGGGCTCTTGGAGCGTGGATCTATAGAATCGTTGGTGTCCTCCACGAGGATGCCGTAGGACAGCGACTTGGGGCTGGCCACCACGTGCCGAATGTGGTCCGCGTGTAGCCGAAGTGACTGGAGTCCGACGTTTGGTGGAGGGGCTGCCGAGGTTGCCGGGTTGATCAAGTTGAGCTTCTTTGATCCAGGTGGGTTGATCTCATCGGCTCCAGCAGGAGCAAGCGCTTGTAGCCGCGATGACTCGGCCAGCGACCGGCCGTGACCATATTGTTGCTGCAGGTGACCTTGCCCGTCGTGGTGCCGCCGACTGTGTGCCTCGTCCGCTTGGTTCAAGGTCTCCTGGATTAGCTGCATCATATCAGCAGCGTTCTGAGTCATGCGGTGATGAAGCGCTATCATGCGGCCGAGCATGACGACAGCTGTCTAAGGCCAGCAGGAAGGCCAGTGCTGTTTGAACCAGTGTATGAGCTCCACGGTCAACGCTGATACCGAGAACCAAAACTAGGTGCAAACGTTGACACAAGAGCGCAAAAGACAGCCGAGCCAAAGGAACAAAAGATAGTCGCACAGCCAAGCAGCTTCAAAACTGGCGTTCGAAGATTCTTTCTCGTTGGGGTCGCTGGTAGGTGAAACAGGTGCTGCAGGTCAGCTGACTTGTAGCCGGCGGACAAGTAAATGCTGCGGAGCTGATCCAGTGCCATCTGTACCGCTCTGGCCGGGTGCGCGTACTTGGTGGCGAGGGCTGATCGTGACCTCGCCCCGGAGAGAAGGGTAGAGAGGCTTCCAGCAGTGCGTGGTCCTCTTATCTGCCAGATTTTGCTTGGGGTTTTGTAGTAAATGGACCGATCTCCCACATCGATGACGAAGCCGAGGAACTCCGAAGACCCCACTTGTTCCAGCACGATGGGAGCACCGTAAAAGTCAGCCTGAAGCAGTGCCTCCAATGGGGGTGCTGGGTGACCCGAGGATGGAGAAGGGAAGATCACAAATCTGTTGTCCACATATCGCTCCAGAAAGACGTTGTGGCTGGTGAACCATTGTCCGTAGACACGTTGCCAAATAACTTCGTGCCTGGCCACGCATATGTGGCTGAGTATCGGGCTCAGCTGAGAGCAAATCGCTGTACCATGGACTTGGCGCATGATGAGGGTCCCTACCTGAACATACATGCATTGAAAGCTGGACCTGACGATGGTTAAGATGTCCTCCATGTGGATGACGCGCGTGGTCGGTGTACGTCCGTAGGATTGCCTGCCCGCAAACACTCTGTTGTAATGGACAGTTGCCTGGGTTTCCACTGAGTACACGGTACTGGGTCGTCCTCGCTGGTGCTCGGCTAGTAGCTGCTCAACTGCTGCACACACTTGGTCCTGAGGGACACTGTTGAAGAATCCAACCAGGTCGTCATTGTGGAAGGCAAGAGTGACTGTATCGTCCGTGTTGTCAAAGTACTGCCTGATGTTCTGCCATATCCGCGGTGTGGGGTGTATCCCCCATGAGCATTTCCATGTATCTGCTGCAATCTCGCCGAGAAGGATGGCGACTGTCTTGAAGAGCAGTCGGTGCACCGCTTTGTGGTATGCTATAATGGTGCGTCCCGACTTCCATTGCTTCTTGCGTTTAAGAAAGACTTTTCCAACCGGGATGGAGGTGGTCTTCTTCCGGTACGCCCATTTGTACCGCTTCTGCAAGTCCCGCGGAAGTGCCTCAAGAATAAGAGCCTCGGCTTGATCGGGCTTCAGTGAAGTCGCTGCAAATGTGCCAGACTGAAGCCAGGTATTGTGGAGGCCTTTGAAGTAGAGCTGAGGGCAGAAGAACATGAGGTGGTGGTTGTCGTGATCTTCGTTGTGGCAGACAAAGTCCTGTCCAAGGTGTCGATGGAGGATGTTGAGCTGATGCTTGGTAAGGAGCTGATGGTTGGATGCGTGCTGCCTATGTTGCTGGAATTGGCTGCGTAGGTGCTCCATGAGAGGGGCGTGGAACTGGTCCAGGGGGAGTCCGTGATGCAAGCACCATTTCCGCAAACGTTCATGGACTTGCACTTCGTAAGTCGCAAAGTCCACATAATACGACGCCAGTGCTGAAGTGTAGTGAACGTGATGGGGGGTTCCAGAAAACCTGAACTCATCTAATCCCGCTGCTACATGACCTTGAACATGGGATAGCCATGGCTGGCGTTTTAGCCAGGCGTCGCACTGGCACGATGATGGCCCTGGGGATGTCAAAGGGTAGCGGTCCTGAAAAACCGAGAAGTTCCACATGACTGTGTGAACTCGGGGATGAGGGGTCTCAGCCAGCTTCGTACTTGGTAAGTGGAATGGAAGGGCCCAGTTGCGGCGGTCGATGACGAGACGACGGAGAACTTCTCGGGTGGTTCGTTGATAATCTGGGTGAGACAGCCACGGTAACCGCAATAGCAGGTTGATCCTGGGTTGCTGAAGTTGTCGGAAATCAAGAACACGTCGGAGAATGTTGCGGACTCGATGCCGATGAGGCTGTTCCACATTGCCTGACAACCTGTAGATGGCATAGATGTCTAAGTCCGAGTGCCGTCCGCTGCGAAGTCGTTTTTCTTCCTCCCAGGATTCAATGTGCTCCGAGGTGAGACGGGCTATGATGGACCAAGCCTGATTGTGTCGGAGCGCCACTCGATGAAAATTCCTGCCATAGACTGTGCAACTCCTTCTTCGCAGTCGAAGGAAGAGGCGTTTGCCGAACCTGGACCAGGGTTGTTCAGCGAGAAATCTGGTTGCTGTGTATCCAGTGGAGATGCGCTTGTATCGCCGATGAATGTAGGGCCAATTAAGCGACGGCTGATAAATACTGATCAGCGCATGTTCTTGGGTCCATGTGACCTTGTGGTCGGGGTCCGTCAGGATGACCCAAGTGGCAAACTCATCATAGTTGTCGAAGTGGTGCCACCATCTGAGTGCCGGTTCTGCATTGATGAATTGCCCATGTTGAATACCCAGTAACTTG